AAATCATACAGTTGTTAAAAAGAAGTTTTTTGGGATCATTAGGAAGTTTCTGCAAAGAGCCAGAAAATTCCAATTTTCCATGCTTGCAGAATCATTACTAATTTACCTGCTAGGATAACTAGCATTGGGAACTTCTTACTTGGTAAGACTATCTAGCTGAGGGGTAGACCTCCTTCTTCAGGTCACCCAACATATTGATGCTGATGGAAAAGAAGGAATAGGAAGGTCAGGGATGTAGGCATACAGAAGGAGTTAGAGAAGAGAGAAATAAGCAGCAAGACAGAATGGAGCACTGGCGAAGGATGTTTTGTAATGGATTTTCAACATCACATAATTTTGTTGTTTTGGAGAAAATTTTGAAAAAACAATGAAAAGAATGAGCCCATTCTCAGGCTGATATTTCTCAGGCTGATATTTCTCACCTTTAATTTCAAATTAGTACTCTAAATATGCTAATATGATGATTTAATAAAATTTAAAATTCATTAGTTTTATCCTTCCTATTTCTTTTTCTAGTTATGTCACAGGCAAGACAATTCAAAGTCCATTTTCAAGAGTCCTCTCCTCTGACATTAAAGACAGCTTCCAAAGTAATTCAGAGTCAGCTTCCAAGGCTGAGAGGAAAGTAAGAGGGGAATTGATGCTGGAACCCTCTCTTTAGCCATAAAGAAAAAAAACAGACTTATACCATAACACCTAGGATTACAGTATTTGCAGTATGCATGATCAGCAAAAATAAATAAATGAGTAAATAAATCAACATTTGAAAAGTACAAACTTCACTATATTCCACTTCTGTTTCTAATGTTTCTGAATCATCAGGAAGTCATCAGGAGTTGAGTTTTACTTGAAGGAGATGCAATTTACTTTAGCTCGGTAAACAGAGTACTGAGATGAAATCTAATATTAGACAATGAAATAATAGGCAAATTAAGATAAAATTGCAAATGAGGCTATAAAACCAAAGACAGCTATGTCCTACAACTATTACATATAAAGGTTGCTCTGGCTCCTGATAATGATGGCTTGCTAAGAGAGAAACAAACTAGGGATCTTGTTTGGGGCATTATAGTTGTAAAGGTATGTTTGGAGCTTGCAAAAGTTTCATAATCTGGCTACCACCACATTCTGCGATTATTAAGAAATGAACAGCCTCCTCACCAGTTCACTGTCATTAACAGAGAAACTGTCATTAAAAAAGTGAAAAAGTCTCAGCTTTAACAAGCTGAGAGATAAATTGGGTTTCAAAGTGAAAGCAATCTAGTTGCTGAGATCTCTCTAGCCTTCTGCCTTTCCTTTTCAGTACATTTTGTGAAAGGAAGCTATTGAAGACTCTTGCTTTTGGTTACAGTTGGCTGCCAAAATCTTGACAAGAGTAAACAAACCATAGATGGCCACTTCATGGAGTATTAAAATATTTATGACTTTTTAACTGTCCAGTTTAATAAAGTGAGGAAAGGATACGGGAACTAGTATTTATTGTTATCTCATTGTTTACAACAACAATACCCCTAGCAATGTACACAAGGAAGGAATAACCTTAACAAAGCATAAATTAGTTTACTGGAAATCGCTATTTGTTTGCCACTTTGACATTTGTTTTGAATGAAGAAATGCAGGTAAAATCATTTTCAAAATTATTTGTATCACAACACTGAGCTTCAATCACTCAAGTAAAACGTGATTCAGGAAATCTTGATACCTGTGAAATTTATACAGTATATGCAAATGAACTTGTTCAGATTAATGTCGTGTTTTAGCTTTGTTTCTCCATTCCATACCTACTCCCTATTGTCTGCTGATTTCCCATATTGTCAAAAGTCCTTTAGGTTTTTTGCTTTTCCTATTCTCTGCAAATATTATAGACCTATAATGCATATTAAATTGGAGGGGGTGGTGGTGATTTTTTCTTAATCTTCTCCCTATAGCCACCTGTATCCACCAGTGGTTCGGTAATCGGTCTAGAAAAAGTCAGGAGAGGAAGCAGGAGAACAGGTGAAAATTTTATCTTCATCTTCAGAAGTAGCCTCTGTTGGATGCTAGTTTGTTCTGGAATCAGTACTCTGAATCTAATCAACTACATTTTATTAAATTATGCCATACTTTTTTAACCCATTAAGTGTCATATGTTTAATGGAGCTTACTCCCTTGTACCACTTAAGTGTAATTTAGACTACCAATTAAAAAAATTAAAATCAACATTAAAAATATTTGTATATTCAACTGCATATGCTGCAGTTAGACAAACAATAAATTAATAATTCTTTGTGTAGCAGTGTAGTCAAAGAAGAACTACTGAAATTTAATAGGTAAGCTTCAATACTTATTAGCAGTTTAATTTTAATCATGTTTACTTAGAAGCAAGCCCCTCTAAATTCAGTAGAGATTATTAAGTGTATGCTTACATACCTGAAAAAAAATCATTGTTGTTTATAACATCTCTCTCTCAGAAAATTTATAATAAAATATGAACGTTCTACCTTTGGTCAGTTAGCTTAAATATGTGATTATATGTTATACATATATGACAAATTACTATTATATTGGTTAAGAATGGATTTGCATCAACACATACACTTCTTCATAATTAAATGATTCTGGAATTCTCATTTCACCTATTTTTCTATTTTTAATAGACCATTCCTTAAGCCCTAATTAAATATACATTTTAAGAAGAGGGGGAAACACCTTTGTTCATTGTTTAAGATGCAAAACAAAGCAGAACAAAACAAGAACAGTGACAAATTTTAGCTGAAGGTCCTACTTCAGCTAAACCTTTTCAGTGACTTCAATAGAAAGATAATCTTTCTGTGATTATGACCAAACCCCCTCGTTGCTTAGCAACACATAATTAAGGAATATGTTTTGAGATCCGCTTTGCAAGCTGGCCATTATCAGATGAAATTACTGGAGCAACAAATGTCATCCTCATGCAAATGAATTGCTTGTAGAGAAAGAATGTTTGCCTCAAGAAGGATGCTGTTCCACATCTAACTACTCTGTCCATATTGTCTTCCAGCAGACAAATAGTTTCAAAAGCAAAGACACCCACCATCTACCCCACTGTATAAAGATATATTGCAAAGTTTAATAAGAAGAAAGACAGCAAAATATTCTAAAGTCTACCACATTGTAGTATTACACTAGGGCATTTTGTTTTCAGGGCAAAGAAGATATGGGGAAATCGTTTGAATCCTGTATGAAATAAACATCTGCCTCCACTCAAAGAATACAAGAATTCTATGGAAAAATATCTGCCTGAAGCTGCTAGATGTTATTAGCTAGAGTAGGAATGTATTGAGCAACTGTCTGATTTTTTGTTTTAATTTTATTCCCACTGTTTGAGACAGCACTAGATAATTATAAAAAAAAAGTCACTGGCCATGATTTGTGACTTTGTGTTGATCTTCTTTAAAACAAGCAAACAAACTTAGCCTCACGAGCTGAAAAATGTCTTCCTATACATACAAATTTACAAAAATAATTCTTGAGCATCCTTCAAAAACTGCAGTGAGACCCAGCTGTCTTCACTTCATTCCTAATCAGAACTTTTCATTCTACCAACAAAATAAGCAGCAGGACCAGCAAAATAACCATTTTCATATTAATGCTACAGTACTATATTTCTTAATACAAGCTCTTTCCTCACTGTTTAATTTTAAAGAATTAGAACAGAAGCTAAATTGGTTCCTGATATATCTTTAAATACAGTGTTCTCAATTATTTAAGATACATGTAAGTATTATTTCCCAAAATGTAACTGGAACAATTTACGTTTAAAATGGAAGAGGGAGCAAGTCTGCCTTTTGTTAGTTGTATCAGTTTCCTTGTTGAAATAAAGCTGCTTTACAAAAGAGACATTATTTTAACACTTGGAACTGATATTTTGGGGGCATAATCTGGCTCAGAGTGAGCACTTTAAAATGCAGTAGGAGGGAGTTAAAACACACACCACTGAAATCCATAGGATTGAAATGCATTTCAGGGTCTTTATGGTGCTCCTTGTTATTTTTATTATCTATCTAGGGAAAGGAGTGATCTGTTTTTCAATGTTCTATGCTACTTAATCGTTGGAACATTTACTCAATGTGAACCCCACTTAATTCAGAAGGATTTCTCCCACAATATGTGTATAGTATTCAGCCCAGGCACAAAGTAATTTTTGCCACTCTGTCCTCTTCAAGGAGGAAATACATTTTCTAACTTAAGGCAATTCCTACAATTTCAGTGACTGTTAAGCTTTCATTGGGATTTACTGAAAGTGTCCTACTTAAAGGATCTGCTGTCTTGCAAAGGGCCAGTATTTGTTCAGCTTCATCAACTTTAGAAAGTTACCAGGTCATATATTTTTTGCTAAAGCAGCAATCATTCGGATGATTGGCAACTGGATTTAGACGTATACAGATTTATTTTGTTAATTACTTCTATATTGGTGGGGAATTCCAACAGAAATCAACAGAATGTTTTGTTTATGAAAGCTTATTTTAACAAGGAAGAACACTGGTCTAAACATTTAGTGTCCAAGTTAGACCCAGGATCACAGCATGACAAACTTGGTAAGTAATACCAAGGAACCATGGAACTCTAATCAGTTCCTTAGAAACACCTTTGAGCTGGTAACAATTGAAAGAAGTCAGTCAAAAACTGAAACCCTTTAGTCTAATTGCCCAGAAAGCAAATAGCATTTAATCTTATGAACATTGCAAGTAAGAGAAATGGCAAGATTCATGGTGTAATAAAGACTTGGCATGCTTGCCTCTTTTATTTGTAATAAACAATTTTTAACACACTTACTGAAACTAAACAATGACTTCCAACACTGGAGTTATTTACTGTATACAAGTGTGTGCGTAAGTATGTGTGTTATAGATTCATGCCTCCTCATCTTGATGCAACAGATTACATATTTGTAACATCATCAGAACACTTAAAAAAAAAAGAACTAAGCATGAATATAACAATCCTAATTAATACAAAGCAATATATTTTAAAATAGTTACTTGGCTCAGGAGAGGTCATGGTGGAGACAATGATGGGTGGACCTGTACGCCTTGTAGATTTCTGACACGGTGAATGATGCCCTGGAAAACTCAATCCCACTGGAACCAGATTGGGTTCTACTTGGACTCCTTCCTTTCGAAGAACCTGAGGACTATTGTGAGGGCTGTGCACTGGGGATAATGGTGGATTTCTTTTCATCAGTTCCATGGGTACAGTGTATGTGGTTGAATATGCTATTTTGGAATTTGCATGTGGATTTGTTTGCAAAGTATTCACAGGAATTCCCGATGGGGCAGAATAGCCAGTTGCTTGATGAACATGCATATTGCATGGGCCCGAAGCACTATATCCAGAACTGGGAAGAAAAGGAGTGACTTGATGAGAAAACCCTGTTGCCGTTTCCAAAAGATGCTGTGTCGGGGCACTAGACGGACGGCGAGTCAATTCTGCTACTCTTGGAGATTGTGGTTGCACAGAAGCAGTTGGTGACTGATATACTGCTACTCCATCCACCACAGGGTTGGTGAAAGGGTGTGCCCCATACTCATTCTGGAACAATTCGCTTCGGTGACTAAAACTGTTTGATCTGTTTCTGGGACGGATGATAGTATTTTTCCTAGACTGCCTCTGGAATTGCATTTCTACTTTGTAGGTATGAACAATTCGAGAAAGCACTCTTGCCTGCCCTAGATTTGGAGCCACTGATTTTATGTCATTGTCCTCCATCATTGCTAACAAACTCGGAGAATCAAATCCTTGTTGCAGCAATGCATTGAGAGTGCTTTCTGATATTCCTTCAGAACGCATCATTGCTAAATATTCTGGATCCACATTCCTTTTAATGTCCTGTCCTGGAAAAGATGCAGGCATCTGAATATGGGAAGGTGTCATTGTTGCTTCATAGCCATCATAAGGAACTTTTGTACTGAAATTTTCTCTGACTGGTCCATGAGCACGATTTACAGAAGTAGCAGGTAGAATTACATTTCCATCAGTGGCTGCAGTTGAATTTGGATCAATTACCAAACATGTTGGAGTAACTTGTTTACTGGCTGCAGAATCTACAGATCTCTGTACTATATCATTATAACCTTGTCGATAAGGAAATATAGAAAGTTCGGCCCTGCATCTAGATGCAGAAGGGTCAACACCATACCTTGTTAGAGAAGGATCTCTGTTTCGAATCCTCTGTGCCTCAGGGACCATCTTAATCACAGGATATCTGTATAAGTGGATGGCTTCATGTGGTACAGGTGACCGTACTTGCATCTGGTCCCAAGCCAATCTACCACCAGGCATGCCATACTTTGATAAAGGTCTGCTAGTCATGTGATCTCTATAGTAGCATGAATCTCTAGGTGACCTAGTAGCTAAAGAAGGATCATTGTAGTAATCCTGAGGTGGCAAGGAACTCCGTGCCGACATTGCAGGCTGTCTGTTGTAATAAGCAAAATCAGGAATGGAACCTCTCCAAAAGGAACTCTGCATAAAAAGTGGCTCCGGATACTGATACAGGTCTTGTTTCAAGTCTGAACCTCCTTGCAAGATGGTATCATGTGGTTTACAGGTTGGCTGCTCACACCAAACTCCCTCACCACCATAGGTTAGTGAATTCCTTCTCCCTAGAGGTTCCTGGCATTCAAATGCACCGTCGTTCTCCCAGGAGCCTTCGTCCCATCCTGCAGCATCCCAGCTCTGAGAGCGGCCAATATGTCTGCTTGGAACTGGCATTCAGCAATATTTAGCTTTTAGAAGGACAGGAAAGCTCTCCTGTAAAATCTTTGGTTACACACATAAACAAATTCAAAAACAGAAGCACTGTACCTGAATCCTTCTGGGCTTTAGGAAATAGTCCAGCAGGTGGTTTACTATTTCAAAGTGCTGCCTGAATTATTTATTCTTCGAAACTTTAGTCAGCAAAACAAGAAAGGTCTAACAGTAACTCAGCCTGCCTCAAAATAAGTAGAATGGAAAGGTCTTTTCTGTACAATTCAGATGCAGAAAGGGGTTGCTGTGCTTAATCCAGATGGTTTATCCCTTCCTGCTTGGGATAGCTAGCTCACATGGACAAATACACAAACACTGTGTGAGGATTAAAGGCTAAATAAAACCTCTAAAGCTTTTGTTCCATGTGACACCATTTTAGCCTGATGGATCCAACTGTATCAGCCCCTGCACACATCTTAGTATAAATTCTACCACAGATCATAACCACTATGTGCTATTTTACTCACAAGCACACACAATACGCACACACACATACGCTTCATGCATCACAAGACATAAAATTTCTTTAAAATTATACCTTGAGACAGAACTCCCTGGCAAGAAAAAGAGAGATAGTGATGACTATAGGAGCTTCATGTCAATTTAATCCATCCTGATGAAATGCTAATCCACAACAAACAGCTATGGAAACATTAAATAGGCACAGGTGTGCTAGTCCCAAGAAGCAAGATACACAAGTATATAAATCAATCATGCTTAGAACAAGCAAGACTTCAGTACAATACTTTATCAATGTCACACATTAAAAAAAAAATACTGGGGAATCAGGGAGAGAAAGGCAATACAAAAGAGAAGCCTGTTTCAAACTAACCACTCCAATTATTGCATTATCTTCATATTTCTCCAAACCCTTCATTGTCCAGGAAAGAAACCTGCACAGCTGTAATTTGGAATTTATAATACGAAGGCCTGAGAAGAGGTCACAGAAAGAGCGCAAAAAGCCTTGATTTTACAAATATGAAAGAATAGTCTCTCCTACTGCTACACACACACACACACACACACACACACACACTTTTTCAGGTAAATGCAACTGTTAAATGCTTATTTCTCAGACTGATGTGGATCATGCATTCACACTGTAAAGCAACAGAGGCATTTTATCTTGGCAAATCTTGGCAAACATTTCAGAAGATCGTAACAACTATTTTGAATTCACCAACAAAGTCAATACAGTACATTTCAGTAATATGGACTCAGATTGTCATGTCCCTGATATAAATATTGATGAGCTACAATGTTTTTTTTTCTGTTAAAAACTACCATACAAAATTAAAGTGAGATCTTAACTTTTTTCTGGCTAGTTTGTGCACATTTAAAGCTAATCCACAATAAAATTACATGTCAGTGCTAACTGCAATAGATAAGTCACTAATTCATTCTAATGTATCTATCATATAAATACCATTGGGCTAAACGTTTCTTTCAAATACTGACAAAATATATTAGCCATCTGTAGATTTGTTTTACTTTGATAAGTACTCCAATTTTTCCATAGATGTTATCTTTTCAACACAGTGAATTTAAAAATAATGCTAACTTATGTTTTCATTAAAAATCTGACTCTAATTGGCAACAAACTGAACGTTCAGTTCAATCTACATCTGGGACAGATGCTGTTGGCTCAACCAGTCAGGCTACACATTCATCGAGCCCTTGATGTATTCTATCACATCAATGACAGATAGGTTACACCCCACTCATAAGAGGAGCAGATTCTTTTTGAAGCCCCCAGAGCAGGGGTCCACTGGGTAATTTATGCATACTCCTATCATGATACTGTCTGTGTGCATCAGAACATGCTATCTATTACTGTAGTGTTCTAGTGTGTCTAGTTCCTGTTGGTTAAATATGTATTCATATCACAACTTGTACTTGTATCACAATTCTTGTAGAGATATGTTCTGGAGTTGTTTCTCTTAATCTAACAGGTTGAAATCTGTGAAATGCTTGGGAAATGCTTATCTGCAAGGTGCCTTTATCAGCTACCAGTTCAGAGCCTCAATCTCTTTTGATTTGCATTCGAGTTCTGTTGGCAATGTGATTATGTAACGAGGGAGAAGTAACAATTGCAGGAGCTGTGAATAAAAGCAGGTCCATGGAGACAAATCATCATGTCCAGGATACGTGCCAGTTTCAAAAGTGTTGGGTGCATTGTCTTCAGAATTTAGACTCCAATTTAAATAGCCATTTGTTATTTTGGCCAAAAAAAAAAAAAAAAAAGAGCCTTCACTTCTGAGTGTTGTGGTTTATAGTAATACGTGCCAGTTTCAAAAGTGTTGGGTGCATTGTCTTCAGAATTTAGACTCCAATTTAAATAGCCATTTGTTATTTTGGCCAAAAAAAAAAAAAAAAGAGCCTTCACTTCTGAGTGTTGTGGTTTATAGTATTCATTTGTGTTTCACTGTGAAAATGTGCATTGTTTGCCATTACTATATAATGCTCTGCACTGATGAGGCTCTGATCAAGTGGTTGTCCAGGTGGGATGCATGTACATCGGTGCTCCTGGATTAGCCCAGTAGTGAAAGCATCACTTTGGGGCAATGAAGCCAAGATCAAAGGGGAGTGCATTAACCTGAAACTGGTTGCTGTTACAGGCAACGTTTGACATTTTAAGCATACTGTTCAGGTGAGAATATGAAGACAGGTCTCCAATAGGACTCCTTATGCCAATAAATTATCTGGCAGTAAAGCCTCAACAATTAATTTCAGGGTCTCCATCTTGAATCGTTATTGTTTAATAACTTGTTTTGGCCTTCAGCTTCAAAATGTCCTCCAATTCTTATTCTTCTTGGGTATGGAGAACAAACTAGATAATTCTTCTAAGAACTATTCTTCTGATGGGGATTCACTTTATGATGCTGGTACCTGAGTGGTACCTGCTGGCTTGGAGAAATCTGCAGTACAGTATCTTTTTCTACATCCAGAAACTGATGGAAGGAATCTGTCCCTTGGAATTCGTTACAATTCCAGGGGATGCCCTAGCTGAACTGTTTCTAATAACCACCTGTTGGTGGAGCTGGCCTCCCAGGGTTGCAAAAATCTTCAAGCAGTAGAGAAACTGTATCTTAATGGCTATTAAGTTAGGAACCATTCTGTTTGCTTCCTGATTAAAAGAAAAATTTGTCTGATCTCTGATATGAGAGCTCAACGTTGATTTTCTTTTTGATATGTCCTCATTCCTAGGAGTTAAGGACATGGCCACTCTGACCTTATTCTTAATCATATTCTATGCTAGCAAATCTCTGAATTATCATCCTAGTAAAAAAAGCTTGGATGCTAGGTTGGCTCTGGATTGGTGGTCCACTTCCTAGCACTTAAACAATAGTTTCAGCAAATGATGCCAAACTGTAAGATATCTATGAAAGAGTCAGCCATGAATTCTGAAGACTTTGCTAGCTTATTCAGACATTCCCTCAGCTCAGTGTCCCTCAGTGTCCAGTAATACCTATGAAGGCATCAGCCAGGGTCCATAGTACAGAGGTCTTAATTATTACTGAGTTAGCTGCTATTGCCCTCATTCTCAGAGCAATTACCTTATGTAGCAGAACACAGCTATACTTCCATAGTGCTACTTCCTGACACTATTTACATTATTTTCTTTTTAGGACCCAGAGGCAAGCTAGAAAAATTCCAGAGATGATTACAGGGACAGTGGCTTAAAGTCCAAGGTATTATCTAAGCAGTGGCAGTATTACAATCACAAAAATGTATATGGAAAGAGGGAATCTTCCCTCCCTTCTTTCATGGATGAAAACTAGTAACATACAGCTATGATTTGCCATAGTGGTCAGTGTGGAGGAAGGTAATTTAGGGCTTCTGATTAAATTTGGACAGTTCAAGCAGAGTGCCCTATTTATGATTATCTACAGAATGCTCCTTCTAAATGGCAATACTTTGGCAGAAACTCACTTTATCTCCAGAGTTTGCTTCCATTACTTGAAATAGCAGTAGAATCAATAAAAGGAATCTACGTAACTTCTTCTGCAAGTCCCATTCTGATGGAACCACACATTCCCACATTTGCTTATTTCATGATCTAAATCTTAATAACTGTTGCAGTACTTTCCATGCATACCAAAAAGCACACCCTTTTCTATGTCAAATAAAGGGTGTGGGATAGGGGCACTAAGCAACAAGACCGTTAGTTATCGTACTTTTGTCTTAGCATCAAAGTATTGAGCCTATTTCTCAGATTATTACTAATTCCTCTGTGGACATTGCTTCAGAATATGAATCTTGGTTGTTATGTTAATACAAAAGCAAATAGGCAACTTTTTATTCCGGTACAGTGCAATATATACTTAAAAGTAGAACATTAAATACTGTATAAGATACTCAGATTTACTATAATAACTTTTTGTAACCCATTCTAATGTTTAAAGTTAATTCAACGATGACTGTTTTTATTAACTCGTCAGTTACCATTATTCTACATCATACTTTAAATCATTCAGATATATATTACATCAGACCAAAAAACTCTACCTTTCCACAGTTATGCAGTCATCACCATTTGAGAAATCCAGCCCCTAAAAATGCTTGAAATGAATGTGAAATCCTATGCACCTTAGGTGGGGAACATATTTCATTCTTAAAGTACTTATTAACTGCATGCAATCATAATCTGTTATTCCCATAATTTTTAATAGCTGTTGTAAAAGCATGTTGGGTGGTGTGTGACAGCAGCAAATCCCTTCAGAAATTAAGAAATTAGAATTGCAAATATACTTGGCAAACAACAAATGTCTCTCTGGTTTTATGTAAACGGCACCATTACAGTATGGGGAAAAAAGTATTTTTATACTTGAAGAAAAAACAGAGAGAAGAGAAAGACTTCAAAATTCATTGTTCAGAGTAAAGTAATCTAAACTTCAATTATAGCTAATGCTCTTTTAGTAGGGTTGTCCTCTGATCCTTGTAAGTTTCTTGTACACTTAGCA